TGCTAGCCACATTCCATATATTCAATAAAGACCTCATACTTCAACCAAGTATCCAAACGCCATCAGAATAAGATGATCTTACTAATAAATTTTATGGGAAAAAATTTTATGCATACGACTTCCTTCGGACATTAGTTTCATTTACTATTGAAAACAGTCTGTTTTGTGAGATTTTATTGTAATAAGATAGTATTTTCTCAAATAAAACTTTATAGATATGACCACTAATTTTGTTTCTTTTTCCGATTCTCCGTCATCAAGTCTAAACGTGGAATAATCGAAGCAAGAGCTGATGAGTACGTTGAACCCGAAGAAGCTTGGCTGCAACAGTGAGTATTCATAATTTTGTTACTTTTTATATCTACATCATGTATCGCTTTTTAATGAAGTATTTATAAAATATGAGTTTATTTAAAACGCTGAACAGAAAAAAGATTGAATACATCCAGGTCATCGTGACTAGTGGTGATGTACTTCTCTATACACAACTATGGTAAGTACCAGGTCTTCATTCGATCACTAAGAGACCATTATAGTTTCATATTATGTTCACGCAGTCGCATTATAAATGTTCACCCTAAAGTTCTGTGCTTCGTACTAGGTACTTCGATCAGTACAAAACTAGAGTGCAGTCTCGTCAAAGCAAACTGATGATATTTAATATTCTAACAGGCGAACAAACAGAAGTTTACACAATCAGCCTAGAATTGTTCAAATCATTGAAAGCTGCCAGTTTAGGTCGGTTAAATGATTTTTCTCAACAATTATAGAACAGTTCACAAATACAATGAAAGAATATTCACTTAATACGATGATGTAAAAATGATTGTTGATTCATCAAGTGACTTTTTCTATCTGAGAATATCTACAAATTAATCAATAAGCTCTGGTTGAATTGATGTAAACAAATCACGTTCAACATTGAAATTATTCAGTTCAGTGTTTACGGAAATAGTATTTAATTTAAAGTTAGTAGATTACATCGAAAATAAATGAGTAATTATGGTTAGCCATTTATTAAGGCTTTTTTGTCTTCAAAACGAAAGCAAACTTATTTACTTTAATTCACAGCTTTGCTCAGTGGATTTTTTTCTTTCACTCTCTATTTTCGTTCTGAACTTTTATTGATCGGCATTAAGGTAACGCCCAGAAAAATCCACTGTCTATAAATATAGGTATTTCACGAATCCTAGAATTTCAGAATAATTCAGTCACGATTTCAGATAAACAAAAAATATTTTTTGCCTAACTTCTACATCAAAATTAATTTCTAGTGCTACTTATTAGTGTTTGGCCATTTGCGTAACTTTCTAATTGTTAAAGCTTCCCTTTCTTTCCCTCAGACGAATGCTTTTTGATGATAGTAGTAGTAACATCTCTAACACCAGACCATATTGTGCTCTCTGAGCTACTACTATAGTCTGTCTGTTAAATGCTTAGTATGCAACTTGTTTATAAGAGCATTACATCTCTAGGCTTGTAAAACTTACCCCTTGTAAACTGAAAGCACTTATTGGCTCTGTATTTTTTGTTATTTTTGTCTCGAAATGGTTACCTAATTGTGGTTCGGATAATGTCAAGTCAAACAATGGTAATAGATTAGTTGATATTGTGGTCTTCAAACTATGGTTTCGGTAGGTAACGTGTGCATAATTTACAATGGTAGTTTCATCATTTAGTCACTATGAACCTAAATCAAAAATGGAAAGTGGTTCTCAAATTATAATATGACACCTTTTTATGAAGTTGAGTTTAACAAGACTGATAACTGTTGATCTACTACAGCTTCCTGCTTGAAATCTCAGAGATCATACAAATCATAAGTTTGATACATTATCAAACATGACTCTAAATAGAAATTAATAAGTGTCTTTCTGTAGTTTTCTATTACATTTTCGATAAAGTTATGACGAGCCTTTTTAATTAGAAAAATTTCTCTTGTTTTCTTAATTGAATTATATAGTTTATTGAATTTTATTCTAACCTATTTATTCGCTTATTGCATAATCTCTGTTGTATTTATTTTTGGTGCCCCAATGCATCAATATTTTATAAGTAGACAAAAATGACTAATTAGTACAACTTTGTGATTATAATAATAAAATATTAATGTCTGTGATGTCCCAAAGTAGGAATTCCCGACTTTTTTGTGACTTAGTGTAAGGCACTTCTTCAAATTAAATAAATAATCGAATTAAATTAACACAAGTTTAAATAATACTGGAACCAAGTTTCATTTCAGAACCTTAAAATTTTGACATAAAATTAATTATAATGGCTAATAAAATTATCATAGAACTCCTTTTTCCAATAGAATCTCATCTAATTTAATGAAACAATAAGTGGATAATCCATAGGTGGCTAGTTCAAACCCATACCATGTTTCTTTTTTACACTTGGTATCATATCCTTGTTCAAAGATGCTTCATTAGAAGTTATCTTAGATAATATAATGAAGAACTAAATTTAAATAGGCTATTCACTACACATCTTAGTCTTAAATTCATTAGATATTTCTTATATTTTGGTGTTGTGAACAAACAAATTGGAATAAATCAACTAAATTTTCGTAGCATCCAGCTCTATATTATTTAGAAGTACTGCGTGTCACTTTATTGTTAAAGTACTCCATATCGATCGTTCCTGCGCAGTTATATGTATTAAGTTAGTCATAAAACTGTAAACAATAACTCACACTATGTTCATGTTCACAAACTACCATTTATTTAGAAAGTATTTAAGGTTTTACAGTGAAATATCCTTGACTTCTTCAACTGAATACTCTTATATGAAACAAACAGATAAACTAGCTAGCATCTTAGCTTCACTAAATACTGAATATGTAAAATAATACAACTAAGTTTTCTGTTATCCTAAATAGTCTTGCAGTTAGAACCGCTTGATCATCTTCGAGGTCACTATGTTATTGTGATGTTGATTGGAACATTGATTAGATTTTACAGTATATTGAAGATAGATGAATTAGTATTCTAAGCCTTTTCATTTTCACTCATTCAACTGTAATTTGTTGACATTGATCTTATCTAACTGGCGATTCATAAATTCTATTGTAAAATTTATTTAGATACTCATTGTTCTTAGTAAATCGTTTGATTCATTTTAATGTTTTAACTCAATCATGTTGATATTGATTGACATTTCAAGATGAAATTTCGTTTAATTAGAGAATAGTCATTCACATCTTAATGGCATCATTTTAATCTAATAACTTTATTCCTTCTAGAGCAATTGCAGCTAGTTTAAGTCTTGACGGTGCTGAAATTCCTGTGACAAGTGCAGATGCAGCTTATATGAAAGCTTTAGAAGAATCTCGTATTGAACAAGAACTTGAAGAAAAACGTCGTCGAGCTGAAGATGAAGAACTAGCGCGTATACTTGAATTGTCAACCAAAGAAAAATAATTCATTGTGTTGTTCTGTTTTACAAAATCTTTGTTCATGTATCCATATATGTATCTTTCAAAAACGCTTACACGCAAATATATATTATTTTGTCAAATAATACTAATAATCATCGCAATCGCTTATCCATATCACATGTGATATAACGACAAAATTAATCAGAAATATATTGTATGCTACTAACTTGATCCCTGTATACCACTTATCCTACTAGATAGTCAAACAAATCGCTTTCTTACGTCTACTTACTCCAAACAAAAAGTTCACATAAATAACAGTCATTTAGTAACGGCTTTTAACAATATATATAGCCGTAACCGCATTATGTTTGCCTTCCTGCTTTGAAATTCCTACTAATGAAATTTAACGCCGAATAATATCATTTCAAGTCTATTCATAATCTGTAACCTTGTTTAATACACTCATCTTACATTTATTACTAGTTGATGATAACGTAAAACAATTTTCACAATGTTGTCTTTACTGCCTTTTGTTTATCAAGTATAATTATGCTGTTAGTGAAAACTGTACTGTATAATCACATTTTTCTGTTCAACCAATGCTCTCCGTTGTTTTATTTCTTACGCTTGATGATCATCATTCTAGTCAGTGGGGATATATGAATATACTAATCCTTCTTTGTTGAGCATTATATTCTATTAGTTTCTCCTATCATTTGTGTAATTGTTTATTTTTCTTTGGTAATATCCATATAATTTGATATATCATTCTTTATGACCATTATTGTTGCACATCAGGTCTCTCTGAACATGATGTTTGCTACTATTCTTATTGTCTTTGGTTTTACATTGCTTATTTAATGTGTTCAACTGATTTCTATAATACGGTTGATGGATGCTTTTATATTCATTCTTTTAGTTGAGTAATTGACGTAGTATGACACAATATTAGTTAAGCTGCTGCATCCACTCTTTGTGTTCTCTCTAATTCTAACCTTCTGAATTCCTCATAATCTCTATCTTTCTCCTTCTAAATTTATCTTATTGAATTATACTTCTCGAATCATATCTTCGCTCCCTAATCTTCTGCATTGCTGCTAATACTTCTGCTATTGCTATCACTCTTGGATTTGAACCGACAGTTGCGTCTCTGTGCTGATGTGGAATGGCAACCTGAACTGATGTACTTATGTACGAAGTTCTGCGTTGTATCTGTCTGTCTGTCCAAAAGTACCATCAGACTGGAAAAAAGATACCTCATCAAAACACCGAAGAAAGGTAATCGCAGCAAGTGTGAGAACTACAGAGGCATCACTCTTCTCTCAATACCAGGCAAAGTCTCCAACAGGGTATTGTTAAACAGAATGCTGCTACATCATACTTTTCAAATGAAGTTTTCGAGCCCTTGGTTATTAGGACAGTAGAAATAGTTTTCCCAATCGCCCAGTACTAAGTCTGTCAGAGAAGTTGTTAATTCATCCTATCCGATACACATCGATCCAAGTGAAAGTTAAACATCTATGAAAATTATTTAAACTCTCTTAGCCCTTTCGAATCAGTTATCTTATGGATTAATTGATCTTGCTTATCTTAACTTTAATATTGCCATCTCTCCTGAGATCAGATCTATCAATAGTTTATAAATTCATATAGCATTTTAGCATGCATTATTCGGTTTCCCTGTCTCTTCTAAACTAAAGACAGATATTTGTCGTAAATATTCCGCGTATAATTGGCTGCTTGCGATAGACAGTCAAGCTAAGGCTAATCCTTAATAAAACTCATTAAGTATTCTATAATTTCGTATCTGAAATGTAACTTATCGACAAAAAATCCCTAATCCTTTTTCTTTTGTCAGATATTTCTCAAAAATACCTATTTTAATCTGATGTGCTTACAATCAAGTGGGTTTTTTCGAAGTATTCGCTCAAACTAGCAACGTAGGTGTGTCTGTAACTTCTGCCTACCATCTCCGTTTCAGAACAGTCAGTTACAACGCAGAACTTCATGCATGAGTATATAAGTTCAGGATGTCATACCCCATCAGCTCAGAGACGCAACTCTCAGTTCAAATACACTGGTGATAGCGATAGTAGAAGTATTACTGATAATGGAGATTAGGGTTCGAAGACATAATCCGAGAAGTATAATTCAGTGAGATAACTTTAGAAAGAGTAAGAGTTTCGGGACAATGATAGAAAGATATTCCACTTATAAAGCAGATTAAGCTTAATTAAAACACTAGGGAGACAAACCACGAAATTATGAGAAAATATATAGTGTTTAATGTAGTGATTTACGTAGGTCTAGAATTAGAAAATACAAGTGTTTATCAACAGCTGTCTACGCAAAATTTCAGTGGAAGAGAAAATCAGGAAGAAGCGGTGGAAGTGGATAGGACACACTGCGAAAAGCACCGAACAGCGTCACGAGACAAGCCCTCACATGGAACCCTCAAGGAAAAAGGAAAAGAGGAAGGCCAAGGAACACATTACGCCGAGAAATAAAGAAAGATATGAGAGGAATGAACAAAAATTGGACAGAACTGGAACGGGAAGCCCAGGACAGAGTAGGTTGGAGGAAACCGGTCGGTGGCCTGTGCTCCAGTGGGGGTAACAAGCGTAAGTAAGAATTATGTCTATAACTGTTCATTGCTCCAGTCGCTATTATGAAGTGAGAAAATGTTTAGTTGGATTTTTTTGGTAGCTCAGAAATAGGTAGTATGATGTTATCACACGACGTGCACTGATATTTATCTTCAAAAAATGTGACTTCGTCACAGTTTTGGAAGTTAGATGTACGGAGTTCAATGGCCGTTTAGAACGAAATTATTAGTTACAATAATCGTGTATATTATTCATGAAAGGTTTTTCGTATAGTTACTGTTATTGAATGTGACCATTCATTCGCAATCGCATTTGTTACAATAAATAGATGTAGTTAGTTGTTATTAGTCGAAGTCAATATATATAAAGGATTGTCATATGGATATATTTTCCTTTGTTTGGCTATGTTTAACAAAACACTGCATTTTCCTTTCTACATATATATATATATATATATATTAACTATATATACTATACACGAAAATGTTTAGGATTTTTTGATGTTTAATAAAGCTTTTTCTGAATAAAGTCACATTAAAATACAAATATGCTGCAGTTCTGTTGCTGTAGCTTCTATACTTTGTGTTTGTGATATTACTTGTAGAGCAAAAAGTTAATTGAATAATTATATACATGTATGTATAGATACTTCTTACATTTGTAATGGTTTTCTTAATGAACAATAGAAATCGCTTTTTTACTGTGAATATCGATTTATCTACCACTCATAGATCATAACTAGGAAATAATTCATGACAAAACCAACCTTTATTCTTATGTGAATTTTGTGTTTGTACATCAAAATGTCATGTTATTTTTTAATACTACATTTAATCACCTTGAGTATGGTGCTTTTTATACGCCAGTGTTTAAGACTGTAATTTTTTGATGAAACAATCAAGCGGCTTTACAACTTTTTCAAAAAAAAACAAGTGTAACAGAGTAAATAAACTACATTGTATATTTTCTTCAATTGATAACAACTTAAAGCAATTACTAGAATCAAAATTATAACTTTATGAGCGTGCAAAAAATTACAAATACTTCATGTAAGAAACTATCAATTAAAAACTGAAAATAAATCCAGTCAGCATAAATTCTATAATTCAAGCAATAAACAAATAGATATCCAGATGAGAATTTAAGACTGTGTGAATTTGAAATGGGAAACAAAGTAATGATCATTATAATACCAAGAAAACATATAGGTGATAAGATCGTGGAAACTTAAATCACTAATGTAATGTAGGTGACAGCAATATTTTCATAATGATCACAAACGATGGATAAAGTCGATCAATACACTTACAATCCTGTGAAGTTATAGGTATGTCTTTCGTACCAGAAAAGCGATTACCAAACGTTTTCAAAACTACTCGGTAGTAAAATGTAAAACTTTTCAAGATTAAGTCGACTAATCTGTACCTAGGTTTAATAGACTTACTTACTGGTGCCTGTTATCCCCAATGGAGCTCTTCCACTCGAATCTGACTTGTTCTCTCCCACAGTTCGTTGTTGCTGATGGTGTCTGGCCAACGAATCCGAAGTATTTTGCGTAGACAGCTGTTAATAAACACTTGTATCCTCTGTATGATGGCTTTGGTAGTTCTCCATGTTTCCGCTCCATACAGTAAAACTGCCTTCACATTTGTATTGAAAATCCTTATTTTGGTTTTGGTTGAAAGTTGTTTGGATTTCCAGATATTTTTCAAGTGTAGAAATGCAGCCCTCGCTTTGCCAATCCGTGCCCTCACATCTGCATCCGATCCACCTTGATTGTCGATGATGCTGCCCAGATATGTAAAGGTGTTAACGTCTTCCAAGGCATCCCCATCAAGAGTGATTTGATTGGTGCATGTTGTGTTGCATCGGAGAATTTTGCTTTTTCCTTTATGTATGTTGAGACCTACTGCTGCAGAGGCTGCTGCTACACTGGTCGTCTTCTCTTGCATTTGTTGTTGAGTGTGCGATAGAAGAGCCAAGTCATCTGCGAAGTCCAGATCGTCCAGCTGCGTCCTAACTGTCCAGTTGATACCGTGCTTCCCTCCAGACGTCGACGTTTTCATAATCCAGTCGATGACCAGGAGAAAGAGAAAGGGTGAGAGTAAGCAACCTTGCCTCACACCGGTCTTCACCTCGAAAGAGTCTGTCTGCTGACCCCCGGTTACGATTTTGCAGTTGAATCTATCATAAGAATTCCGTATGATGTTAACTATCTTCTCAGGCACACCGTAGTGTCGAAGAAGCCTCCACAGTGTTTTCCTATCCACGCTATCGAATGCTTTCTCGTAGTCGATGAAGTTGATGTAGAGTGTTGAGTTCCATTCAATTGATTGTTCCAAAATGATCCGTAATGTAGCAATTTGGTCAGTACACGATCGATCCTTACGAAATCCAGCCTGTTGATCTCGAAGTTGGGCGTCTACGAAGTCCTTCATTCTGTTTAACAATACTCTGTTGAAGACTTTGCCTGGTATTGAAAGAAGAGTGATGCCTCTGTAGTTTTCACACTTGCTCAGGTCGCCTTTCTTTGGTATTTTGATGAGGTATCCTTCTTTCCAATCTGATGGTACTTGTTCCTCATCCCAAATCTTCTTGAAGAGAATGTGAAATATTTTCGCAGTTGCTTCCACATCTGCTTTCATTGCCTCTGCTGGAATGTTGTCTGGTCCTGCTGCTTTGCCGCTCTTGATTTGTCTGATGGCCATACTGATCTCCTCAATCGTGGGTGCGCCAATATTAATTGGAAGGTCCGTGGATGCTGCTTCGATGTTGGGTGGGTTCAGTGGAGCTGGTCGATTCAATAGTTCCTTAAAGTGCTCCACCCACCTATTTCGCTGTTCGTCAGTGTTGCTGATTATTTTCCCTTCCTTGCTTTTCACTGGTCGTTCTGGTTTACGATAGTTTCCGGCGAGCTTCTTTGTAGTTTCATACAATTGTCTCAAGTTTCCTTCTCTTGCAGCCTTTTCCGCCGTCATTGCTAGATCTTCCACATATTTTCGTTTGTCAGCTCTGATGCTCTTCTTCACTTCCCTGTTTGCTTCTGTATACTCGGCTTGCGCCTTAACTTTCTCTGCTCTTGTTCGGCAGACATTGATAGCTGCCTTCTTGTTCCTCCTTTCTTGAATTTTTTCAAGAGTACCAACAGAGATCCATTCCTTGTGATGGTGCTTCTTGCGACCAAGGACCTCCTGACATGTTGAAGTGATTGCCTCCTTAATCCCTTTCCAATTGTTCTCCAATGTTGCGTCCTCTCCATTGAGTAGATCCTGAAAGGCCTGGAACCTATTGGTGAGGGCTATCTTGAATTCGTTGAGTTTTACGGTATCCCGAAGAAAGGCCGTATTAAACTTCTGTGATGTTGTCTGTCCCGTTGTCCAGTGCTTCTTTAGCTTCAATCGCATTTTGGCGATCAGCAAGTGGTGATGTGATTCTATATCAGCTCCTCTCTTGGTTCTCACATCCTCCATGGTCCTTCTGAACTTTTTGTTGATACACATATGGTCA